TAAGCCGTTTGTTTACATTTGTTCGTTGTTTACAATTTGGTGGTGGCTTTTTACTGCAATTTTCTTAATTTTCGCTTGTGACAACGTGTGCACACATAAGGTAAAGAATAATTTAACACAACGACATGATTTATAGGAGAATTTGCATAATAAAAATGATTATTCATGCGTTCAACAATTACGCGTTTTTTTTTGTTCTCTTCGTTGTTTACTTCTTACAACAAAGATGGCGTCGAGATTTCAACAGCTAGAAAATAACTTTTTTCTTTCTTTCCTTAAGGCGTGATCTTGTGTCTTTCGTTCATGGGATGCGCGATGTTAACCGATGCATAGGAACACGAACTTCGATACGATACGATACCATATCGATACTTTTGGCATTCGATACCGATATTTTCTACTCGATAGTTTTAAGACGATATTTTTTGGAATCGAGTACCAGAACCCTAGTATCGTATCGAATGTCATAAACTCACATTCCAACAATGAGGGGAAAAAATTTTGGAATTAAAAAAAACGTGCTAAATTGAAAAAAATACGCATATGAAAGAGCACCAACCCAACTCGTTTTAAATTTGAGTATATACGTTATAAAATATGTGGTTGTGAAGTGCACAGATGCTTTTCGTAATTAAGAAGAAAAAAAATTAATTTTATGTTCCGTCTGATGGGAACTGAACCCGGACCCTCTTGGCCGCAACTAATTGTATCAAGCGTCTTTGCGCACTCAGCTACAGCCATACATGTAAAGGTGTTTTCAAATGTTGAGTTTGAATCAACATCACAGCGCGCGATTAGTGCATTATGCCATACCATGTATGTGTATGTGTGTTGTCACCGCTGTGCATGCTTTGTATACATATACCTTCTTAAATACATATGTATGAATTTAAGCATCCGAGACGTGCAAAACGCCATTCGTGTAGTGAAAAATGCTTAATTTTAGTATGGGAGTATTTGAATTGAATATTTCCATTATATGTACATTGTGTATGTATCATGGAAAAATCTAATTGGTTAAGACTTTTCACTTGATTTTAATACGAACATTTTTAAACGGTAATTAATGTTTAAGGCAACACCTCAATCTCTACGTGTTGTAATAATAATAAAGTCCGGCGCTTACACAAAATGTTAGTATTTGGCCGAACTTCTCCTCCGATTTGTCGCGTGGGCCTTAATGTTGTGGCACAAAGGGGGTGCCTACAGTTTTATGTCGACTCTGAACGGCGATTGTATTTTATGGGAAGCTGTTTTTCATTTTCAAGAGTTGCGCACTTCTAACCACTACACCCCAGCGGCCTACATGCGAAACCTATATTCAGATAAATTTTTTGGATTTTGGTATCGATATTTGGAATATCGAGTCTTTTTATTCCGATATTAATTTGGTAGCCGATATTTTTACAGGATAATTTAAATGAGTACCTTATCGATACTTTCGGTTCGATATCGTGTCCCTACCGATGCATCGGAAACATCGATGTTTCCAATAGAGGTGGAAAAATATCGACTACACTAAAAGCTGTGACAGACGGCAAAGCTTATACATATAATCTGGCATACATATGCGCATAATAATTTTGACCTCACAGACGACAGTTATGCGGATAAACGAGCCGCAAGGTCGTGGGTTCGAGTCCCACGGCCAATTAAATTTTCATTTTTTTTTTATTTTTTTTTTCATTCTTTTTTTATAAGTTCTATATTTTTTTTTACGTTGCTTTCAGTTAGTTGTTGTTGACTTTTTATTAAAATTCAACTCTAAAAATTTAAATTAACTGATAGTAAAATAAAAAAAGTGATATAAAATAAAGCAAATGAAAACAAAATAAAGTAAAATTAAATATATAGATCAAATAAAATAAAAAATATATAAAATAAATAATAAAAACAAACAAAAATTTCGCAATCGCTCTAACCGAGGATCGAACCTGGCAGCTACAGGCTTGTAGCCCGTAACTCTTACCACTCGGCTACCGCGGACGCGCTTTGTTTGTTTACTTGTACAAAAGACAACAGCTGACCAGTGTTGTCAACGAAAACTGCCCGGATCCGAGTTAATTCCCAAAAATTTCGTGCATTTGTTCGGCTGCTTATGCGCATTTTAAAGAGGAAAATGCACGAGTCAAAGCAAATAAAGGCTGTTTATGCAAATAATCGAGCCCGTTTGTCAACCGTATAACGATACATTGATGGTTTGTGTTACAGGCTAACCTAATATTCGCGGCTTGCGTTTTGGTACGCACGCCGTCGAATTTGTTTTTTTGCGTCACCCGAAATTGGCTTGCGTGCGTTTGCATTTGATTTCATTGAGCGAAACGGCAAATAAAAATGTCACGCAGAACAAAAATTGGAAATTGAGTTAGCTTCATACGCACGCCGTTCAATTTCGGTTGGTCCCATACAAGTTGTATGTGCATGAGAAATTTTTGACAGTAAATTGGCGGCGTGCGTGAATATTAGGTTAGCCTGTTAGCAAAATATACTATCGATGTTTTAAAACCATCGATACTATCGTCTGTTATCAAGACCGATAAAACACAAAATTGCGCTGATGTGAAATTCGGTAGAGTACTATGTTCAAGCAAGCATCCAATTAGTTAATTAAGAGCATTTCAGCAATTAAACCCCTAATTCCATCAACATTAGCCTTATAAAAACTGAAACAATTAGCTGCCAATAAGTAACTACCCTGCAAAAAACGGCTGGCAATATTAGCTCGGATCCAATACTTTTCGTGAAAAATCCTGTAAAACTGTCAAACAGCAAAATTACTCTCTGAAGTGAGAGTAAAAAGTGAGTAACAACAAAAAGTACGACAACAAAAAATCCATTTTTCCTGTAAAAACGTCAACCAGAGATTGCTTGACACTTTTCATGATTTTACCAGAAGAAAAAGTTCGGGTAAAATCTTGCACCTTCATTCTCTACACAACTCTCCAAAAGTCGCTCTCATTTACAGGATTTTGGAGTACGGGAACATTTTTCCTGCAACTTCCTGCAAGTTCGTGTAAAATCCTGTAAGTTCATGGAGTACTGGATCAGAACTATTGAAAGGAAACTATCGATTGTACGCTCAAATACATGTGTACATACATAAGGTTTGTATAGTAACTTCTCCAGTAAAACATTGTAGCCAGAGCGTAAAAGCAAAATAGAGCGTAAAATTTACAAGAAGAGAAAACTAGCAGAAAAAGTTACTGAACGCAAAACTAGTAAAAACTTGCAAGTGAATAGTTGTTGCACCCTTTTGATATTATGCTGTAAACATTTTACTATTTATAAATCAGTTTTAAACTCTTTGCTTTTCACACAAGCACTTACACAGTCTAGTACATCATTAATATTTTGATTTCCACTCATTTTACTTTTGTTTGTGCTAAACCAAATCAACAAATGGCGGCTTTTGACATTTATTCTTCTTCTTCTTCTGCTAGCTAATTTATACTAGTAAAAATTTCACTAGCAAGAATTTGCAGCTCTCCCGTGTTATTACGCTGTAAATTCAGTGCCCTCTTGTAAATTTTTTGGGTTATCATACACTTTTCCAGTAAAAATTTGCAGGTTCCAGTACAAATTAGTACTGACTATTGGTTATACTATACATACATCAAAGAAAATTTTACTTCATTGTTAGTGATAGAACTTTTTAGAAAAGTATCGATACTAGTACTCATATAGAATACTCTAAAAAAGTATCGATGTCAGTACTCATATTTGCAAAAAAGTATCGATAATGCTCGTACTTCCAAGTATTCTCAAAGCAAACGTAAAAAGTAAACAGAAATCAGATTGTTTTGCTTTTTTCGTCTCTTCCTATTTGTAAATTGAATAGTCACTGCTCTTAGTATTTAGTTTTAATCTGATCTAAAGGAATTTTTGGAATAAACTTCCGATAAATTAGTTTTACAAGCGTAAATTAATTGTTTATAGCAAAAAGCCTATTTCCAAGTTTTTAAATGCGAATATTTTATTGTTTAGGGTTATTGTTTGACGCGTACATGTATTTATATATAACTTTACTTTGAAAATGAAATGTAAATGTAGAAGACGAGAAGCAAATATGGTGAAGCCCATTCTGTATTGAAAAGATAAGCTCTCTTTTATAAAAATTTCCTTCAAGAATGGGCTGGATTTCACAACGAAGGTAGAATACATGGGTTAACGATGGCTGCCTTATGCTGGAGAGTGGCCAAGTTGTCGAGCCGGAAGATTATCTCTTCCACCATTCATTATCAAAGGGGAGGCAAGATGTTCGTTTTTTAATTATTCAAACATTTTTACCTGAAGCCAATGTTGAAATGACCGCTACATTTTCTTCTAGGTTGTGTAAAAATTTCATAACTGTGTTAATTACCAGGAGCTCACTAGAACTAAATATGTATTAATTATCTATTAGTATGGGAGTATACATATCGTCGCCCGTATGCCATAAACATGAATGTGTCAAAATTAACATTTTGGGAAATCAAGTAAATATTTTTTTTTCGACAATTAGCTCTACACTTATTCAATTGAAATGCTAAAATATTTACTTTCCGTGTGCGCATGTTATTCTGGGTTTTGGTATAACATAGAAAATCCAAAGATTAACCAAGTCAACCCAATAACTCAAAACTGATAAATTTGCACATTCATGCTTCTGGCATGAGGGTGACGTTATGTGAATTAAAAACTTTAAAGGCGTATTTTTCGGGTTTTCGGTTTTGGAGTTATGAAAATACTGAAGTAAATGAGCTTTATGTTCGTTTTCATAACATTCATATTGGATATTGAAGTTAATATTCGAACGTTCGCCATAATATTTATTGGGTAATTAAAAAAAATTTACTTAGAAAAGTTCTTAACTCGTCGATACTTTTCGGCATTCGCGATATTTACTCAGTACTTGTGAAAAAGTATCGAGTTCTTGATACTACTCGGTACTCATGAAAAGTATCGATATTCTGTACTCGGTACTCGTATCGTTCTATCACTATTCATTGTTAGCTGTGGTGCAAAATATAAAAGAAGTCCGTGAATTTAAAGAAACGATTAATAAAAATCAGTGTATTTAATTTGTATATAAAAAATTTAGCAAAAAAACCTTTTTTCCTCTATGTGGATAGAACAGAAAAAATTTGAGGTCAGTGCGTTTAGGAGGCAATAACAAAGAACGTAGATAACAAGAAGGGACAACTCGTTATTTTTGTAGCGAAAGTGCCCAACAGGGGCGTGCCTTCTCTTTTGCCCTAGTGCATTTTTTGATTGGATGAAAAGAGAAGGCACGCCCCTGTTGCGCCCTTTCGCCACAATTATAACGAGTTGTCCCTTCTTGTTATCTACGTTCTTTGGCAATAACTACAGTGCTGAAATACAACGCCGACGTGGAACTCCAGCAGAACATAGGAATGGAGGCAGAAGAAGGAAACGGCGCTGAGGAATTTGGAATTTGATTAGCGACGAAAATTCAGACCCCAATAAAAAATTAGAAGAATTTTCTGAGCTCGGAAGCTCTGGAAAGCATAAACAAAATAAAATTGTATTTTTTAATTTGGGTTCATGTATTTTTGGATATTTCGCTGCCATCTATTCACTAATTTATCAAGTATTTAGAAGTTAAAATAGTGACCAGGAAAATCACTAATTATTTTTCCAATAGTTTCATCGCTAAATTCACTTGTACTTCACCAACTAGATGACATGTTTAAGCGAGTGAACATACTGTAAGGCCGCTACAACAACAACAACAACTGTAAGGGAAATGCGCCCATGTGTGTGCACACGCCCGGAGAAGTGGTTACTCTTTTCCCAAGCACATACAAAACTGATGATCGAATGATACTATATTTTTTTCTTCGAGTGTATTCATGATTAAATAATACAAGGTTGGATAACCTGGCAGTTGTCTCGCTCCCACATTCTGCTTTAGCCTGTGTTGCTTTCTTTTTTGATTTGTAGAAACTACTACTAAAATACAAGGAGAAATATTGTCTTCGTAAAAAAAGTTCAACAGGCAACACTGCCGATATTTTCATCGATTGTTTCGCGAAAATTGATTTTCTTATTGCGCAAATTCAAGTAGGTATGGCAAAAAAATAAAAAATAATAAAACTATTTTGAACTAAAACAATAATTTACACATTGTCACGTACACGTTACCGCCCCTTGTGTGTCGCTATCATTGTGGCGGCCCTAGCTAGCTCTGAAATTGTGTGGCCGTGGTTCTCAACCCTTGCCACAATGAAGCAGACTGGAAGTTACGCGTCGTTCATCCACATGCTTTTGTCAATAGGAAGCCCACCCGTCCATGGACCGCTCATTTCAGACGTCGTCTCGCGGTCTCCCTGTTGTTCTACTCCAATTGCCCACTAACTCACCCTTTTGTCATCTTCCCCTCCCTCCGAAATAAATTAGTCCCTCATATTAAATTTTTTTTCAATTTCGAATATACAAGAGAAATTTTATTGACTAACATGGAACTAATTGTGTAAATTTAAACAATAAATAAGAAATTTAAACAAAAGTTATAAAAATTCACAAAGAAAATATCAACATCAAAAATTATTTATATGTATCGCCACCATCAAAAAAAAGGGACCAAACAAGTATATTACAGTCCATAGAACTTAACAAAAAGACACGGTAAACCTATCACCCTACCAAAAAGAGCTCTTTTTTTTGTCGGTATACAGGTGTTTCCGGGAGCCGGATGTTCTCCGCTCAGATTAATGATTATCTACCTTGTTGGGTTCTTTTACTGACGGAAAAAAAAGCAGCAACAGAAGGAAACTTATGCTAACATAAAGAATATCGCGAAATACCACGGTTAACGCGCAAATAAACATACATATATATGTGTATCAGTAAAATACATGTATAAAGACTAAACTAAAATACGAAAAATTAAACTAGCTCTATGTCACGTTGGGGCACCGAAATTGCGCATATGGAAACTGTGCATTTAGACATTATTTCGGTTTCAACCGAAACTGTGCATGTATGCTTTATTTCGGTTTTTACCATATGCATTATTTCGGTTTTAAACCGAAACTGTGCATGTATGCATTACTTCGTTTTTTTTCATATGCATTATTTCGCTTTTAAAACGAAAGTATGCATATGCATAATTTCGGTATTTTCTCATATGCATTATTTCGGTTTTCAACCGAAACTGTGCATGTATGCATTATTTCGGGTTTTTCATATGCATTATTTCGGTTTTCAACCGAAACTGTGCACGCATGCATTATTTCGGTTTTTGTTATATGCATTATTTCGGTTTTCAACCGAAACTGTGCATGTATGCATACCTTCGTCTTTCACATATGCATTATTTCGGTTTTCATCCGAAACTGTGCATGTATGCTTTATTTCGGTTTTTGTTATATGCATTATTTCGGTTTTCTAACGAAAGTGTGCATATGGATAATTTCGTTTTTTCCAATATGAATTATTTACTTCTACTTAGTAAGGGTTTTAATCCCTAAGCGCGGCTGAAAGCCGCCTACGCAGAGGAAAGTTCTGCGCAAAAATACGTCCGCCCTTCATTTCCGGCAATACAGAAAGGAGAATTCTACTTAGTAAGGGTTATAATCCCTAAGCGCGGCCGAAGGCCGCCTACGCAGAAAGAAGTTCTGCGCAAAAGTACTTCCGGCCCCCTTTTCCGGCAACACAGAAAGGAGAATTCTACTTAGTAAGGGTTATAATCCCTAAGCGCGGCCGAAGGCCGCCTACGCAGAGAGAAGTTCTGCGCAAAAATACTTCCGCCCTTCTTTTCCGGCAACACAGAAAGGAGAATTCTACTTAGTAAGGGTTATAATCCCTAAGCGCGGCCGAAGGCCGCCTACGCAGAAAGAAGTTCTGCGCAAAAATACTTCCGGCCCCCTTTTCCGGTAACACAGAAAGGAGAATTCTACTTAGTAAGGGTTATAATCCCTAAGTGCGGCCGAAGGCCGCCTACGCAGAAAGAAGTTCTGCGCAAAAATACTTCCGGTCCCCTTTTGCGGCAACACAGAAAGGAGAATTCTACTTAGTAAGGGTTATAATCCCTAAGCGCGGCCGAAGCCACCTACGCAGAAAGAAGTTCTGCGCAAAAATACTTCCGGTCCCCTTTTCCGGCAACACAGAAAGGAGAATTCTACTTAGTAAGGGTTATAATCCCTAAGCGCGGCCGAAGGCCGCCTACGCAGAAAGAAGTTCTGCGCAAAAATACCTCCGGTCCCCTTTTGCGGCAACAGAGAAAGGAGAATTCTACTTAGTAAGGGTTATAATCCCTAAGCGCGGCCGAAGGCCGCCTACGCAGAAAGAAGTTCTGCGCAAAAATACTTCCGGCCCCCTTTTCCGGCAACACAGAAAGGAGAATTCTGCTTAGTAAGGGTTATAATCCCTAAGCGCGGCCGAAGCCCGCCTACTCAGAAAGAAGTTCGTTTTCATGTATGCACTATTTCGGTTTTTGTCATATGCATTACTTCGGTTTTGAGTCGAAACTGTGCATGTATGCATTACTTCGGTTTTTGTCATATGCATTATTTCGGTTTTGAATCGAAACTGTGCATGTATGCATTACTTCGTTTTTCTCATATGCGTTATTTCGGTTTTCAAACGAAAGTGTGCATGTATGCATTATTTCGGGTTTTTCATATTCATTATTTCGGTTTTCAACCGAAACTGTGCATATATGCATTATTTCGGTATTTTTCATATGCATTATTTCGGTTTTCAAACGAAAGAGTGCATATGCATAGTTTCGGTTTTTCTAATATGCATTATTGCGGTTTTTAACCGAAACTGTGCATATATGCATTATTTCGGTTTTTTTCATATGCATTATTTCGGTTTTCAGCCGAAACTGTGCATATATGCATTATTTCGGTTTTTTTCGTATGCATTATTTCGGTTTTTTTCATATGCATTATTTCGTATGCACAGTTTCCATATGCACAATTTCAGGGTGCCGTCACGTTGTGTATTTCACTTTGGACCGCTTCTTCGCTAATAGGATTTTTTTTCTTTTTTATGGTTTATGGGATTGTGGTGGTCGTCTCGGCTGACCAGAACCATGAACTCCGAATTCCTCCGATATTCCTATTTTGGAGCTTTTCGCTCGCGTGAGCCATAAAATCGCATAAAGCTTTTGTACAAATGGAATACCTTAACCCTAGCACTCACCAGCGAGTTGTGCCGCGCCCTACTGCCTTTGCGTACAACATTCAAAATTCCTGGGCGTGCAATCGAATAACTTCCTGGCACACTGGGAACACACAAAAAATTACTCTTTTTTTTATCCTAATGTTAGAATCCGTTGGGATTAGTTCAATTGCTTCCGGACGAGAATCTGCTCCTCCTCAATCCTCGGGTTGAGCTCACTCCTCCTCCGGGCCAATACTGCCGGCCACGATCGAACCAACGGGCTTCCTCTGCTTCGTTTGGTGTAACCAACACACGCGCCGTTTATATATATATTTTTTTTTTTTTGAGGTTTTACAATTTTTTATCAAAAACTTCTTTGTCGCCCGAGAATGCCCATGCCTGCGCGAGAGTCGGGGCAGTTAACGTTTCAGTTCACACCGCAATCTTATCCTTACGGTCCACTGTGGACTCCTTTATATAGCCTTGTTTCTACCGCCATCCGTTTTAACCACCGTTTTCCGTAATCCGACCCGTTCGCCCTATATCTGTCTCTCTCCTAATGATTTACTCGGCTCTCCGAATGGCCCTTTCCAATCTGGCAACATTTTTCCTTAAAAGCTTTACAATTTCCCTTTTGGGACTTTTGCTGAGTTTGACATTTGTCGATCGACACAGAGATGGCAACCAACGAAAACATCAGGTAAATAAGGATGGGGATTTTACTAATTTCATTAATTTTTATTTATTTTCAGCTGTTCCGGCGGTCCATGGGTAGCTACTAGGGACCTTCAACAAACGCCCGACGTGGGGAACACCCACCCCTGACACGGTCTCCTGCTTCGAGAGCTCAGCCGGGCATGTGTTATGCGCATGTGCTCTTACATATGGAAGGATTACGGGATGTTTATTAGCCTTCTTTTTATGGTGGAAATTTACTTTGTGAGCCATTTCAGGTCCTTCGTGCTACGTTTTGGCTGATTGCTTCCTCCCCAGACGACTTGAACCTCATCGCCGGAGAGATCGCCGAGATGGAATACCCTACTGCTTAATGTCTTTTGCATGCCAAGCGCCCAGGCTTTTTCCTGCAAGCGATTCCAACAGGTACACGTTGTTCCCGAGTGCTTTCCTTACGCGGCATTTGGTGAATTTTTTGCAAAACTTCGAATTGATGTTATTTTTAAAGTCGCTTAGAACAAAGTTACGCTTATAGACTTCTTGTCCGGGCCTAAAACGAATCGCGCGTATTTTTTTGTTATAACGCGCCGAATTTGTCTCATAAGCTTCGTGCAGCTTTCCTTTGACCTATTCGCGCATGAGTATGATTTTGTCGCTAGTATCTAACAAGAAAATTTCATTGTCACTAAGGCTAGACAACTTCCTGGCCAATGCGTAGTCGGCACCATTAGTGAACATATTCGTGCCAAATAACGCGAAGTAAGGGGACACTCCCGTCGAGGAATGCACTGCACTTCGAAGAGCACACTCTATTTCGGAGAGATATAAATCCCAATCGCGATGGTCTTTCTTCAGGTATGACCGGATGGCAGCCAACACAGATTGATTAACTCTTTCTGACGCATTCGATTGCGGAGCATAATACGCCGTCTTCATGTGTTTGACTCCATAGGCCTGTAGTAGCTGTGAGAACTGCTTGGACTGAAATTGTTTGCCGTTGTCGGAATGTATTGTCTCCGGGACTCCGAACTTGTGGAAGATCTCCTCTGTGAGTAACTTCACCACGTTGCTAGCGGTGGCCTCGCGCATCGCTTTCAAAAACGTGAACTTGGAGAAGTGGTCCACTACAATAAAAATATAACTATTACCTCGCTTTGATCTAGGATATTTGCCGAGAAAGTCGATATATGACTTTTGGAAGGGACGAACCGTGACTACTTCGCTTCCTATGCTTGGTTTTAAGACCGTATTGCTTGGTTTCGCCTCTTTACATATTTGGCAATTTCGTACAAAGTTGCGGACTTGCACTACCATGTTTGGCCAGTAATACAACCGGCGTAAGCGACTCAACGTCTTACTCATCCCCCCGTGTGCGGTGATTTCCGAGCAGTGCGCGTTTTCTATGAGGGTTGAGGTTAGCGCCTCTGGAACCCATAGCTTCCATTCGTTTTCCTCTATTTCAATATTGTTGACCAACGCTTTCTTGAACACTAATCCATCCTCCACCTTCAGATCCGGCAGTCTCTCAGCGTTAGCTTGAATCGTATTCATTCACGTGGTACTCTTGGGATTCAAATTCCACAGTGTCCATATTAGCAATTGGGGAATTCGCGACTTCCTCGATGCAGCTCGAAAGTGTGTCGGCGACTATATTGTCAGAGCCCTTGC